CCAGCAGCAGCAGATGTTACCCTGCACGAGTCTCCTCAGCAGCAGCAGCAGCAGCAGCAGCAGCAGCAGCAGCAGCAGCAGCAGCAGATGTTACCCTGCACGAGTCTCCTCAGCAGCAGCAGCAGCAGCAGCAGCAGCAGCAGCAGCAGCAGCAGCAGATGTTACCCTGCACGAGTCTCCTCATGGGCGTCGGCAGCGCCATGTCGCGCTGTATGTCTTTGAGGGCCTAAGAGGAAAAAGAGACACAAAATTCGGGTGTATCTGCAGCTCTGAGGTGTATAGACAGCAGCAGCAGCAGCAGCAGCAGCAGCAGCAGCAAAGCCGCTTTAGGGTGTACAGACACCCCGTGGCGTTATGGAGAGCTGCTGCTTCTCTGCGCCTCTGTTGCAGGTTCAGCAGCAGCAGCAGCAGCCAATACAGTGGCAGCAGCAGCAGCAGCCGAATCAGCAGCAGCAGCAGCAGCCGAATCAGCAGCAGCAGCAGCAGCAGCAGCAGAAGCAGCAGCAGCAGCAGCAAAGTATTTGCTTACAGCTATTTGAGAAGGGGTGGGGGTAAAGGGAAGAGACTGCAGCAAAGCGTTAAGCGGCAGCAGCTCCGCAGGGGCCCCACAAGAAGAGGCAGAGACGCGGCCTAGCTGCAGCAGCAGCAGCAGCAGCAGCAGCAGCAGCAGCAGCAGCAGCAGTGTCAGAGTCAACCGAAGCAGCAGACGCACTACATCCACCACCAGCAGCCGCTATAGCAGCAGCAGCAGCAGCAGCAGCAGCGACGGGAGCAGCAGCAACACCAGCAGCCAGACGAAGCAGCAAAAGCAGCAGCAACAGCCTGGACTCTGCTGCTAGCTGCTGCGACAGCAGCAGCAGCAACCGCAGTCGAACTACTGCCATCAGAAGGAGCAATAAGCAGCAGCAGCAGCAGCAGCAGCAGCAGCAGCAGCAGCAGCAGACCTGCAGCAGCCTGAGTTCTGCTGCTAGCTGCAGCCACAGCAGCAAATCAAAAGCAATGCGTCTGCGAGCCAGCGGCAGTTCTGCTGCATTTTGGGGACAGTGCAGCCGCCGCAGGGCCTCAGCAAATGCTGCAGCAGCAACAGCAAACAAGTGCTGCAGCAGCAAATGCCAGCAGGTGCTGCAGCAGCAGCAGCAGCAGCAGGCAAGCGCTGCAGCAGCAAAAACAAACCGCCAGCTGCCAACTCTTTTTGGCTTCAAAGGCAGGCACATGAAAAGGCAAATTCAGGGAAGCCTGGAGTCAGCAGCAGCAGCAGCAGCAGCAGCAGCAGCAACAGCAGCAGCAGCAGCAGCAACAGCAGCAGCAGCAGGAGTTGCGGTGTAATACGTTAGAAACAACACTAAGTGCCGCAGCAGCAAGACCGACAGCGGCAGCAGCACCAAAGGCAGCACGAGGTGCAGCAGCAGTAGCAGCAGGATTTGCTGCTGCTGCTGCTGCTGCTGTTGCTGCTGCTGCTGCTTCTGCTGCTGCAGCAGCAGCAGCGCGACTTACGCAGCAACTTTCTCTTCTCTCTAAAGGCCTTTGGCAGCAAATCGGGAACCCCACAAACTGCTGCCAGCAGCTGCTGCATTGCATTCTTCAGCAGCTTTGTCGGCACAGAGGGCACGGGCGAATATACCGGAAACAAATGCTGCTGCTGCTGCTGCTGCTGCTGCTGCTGCTGCTGCTGCTGCTGCTGCTGCTGCTGCTGTTGCTGCTGCTGTTGGTGAGGAAGCGGCAGCTCGTGGTCTCTCGTTGCGGCCTGGGGTGCAGCTCGATGGCAACTTTTGAAGCCTGCAGCAGCAGCAGCATCTGCTGCTGCTGCTGTTTCTGCTGCTGCTGCTGCTGCTGTCACCGCTGCTGCTGCTGCTGCTGCTGCTGCTGCAGTTGGATCTGCACATGCTGCCTCCCTGCTAGCCTCCTCCTCAGCAAGCGCCGGTGCTGCTGCAGCTGCTAAGGTGCTGCTGCTGCTGCTGCTGCTGCTACCTGTTGACGTCGCCGCCGCAGCAGCAGCAGCAGCAGCAGCAGCAGCTCTAAATGCACTTTCTGAAGCTGCCAAAACTTCAATTCTGGGGTTTTTCATTGTTGGTATTTTGCTTCTTGTCTTTTTAATTGCCTGGCGCACAGAAAACATAGAGAAGCAATCGCTTTGCTGCTGCTGCTGCTGCTGCTGCTGCTGCTGCTGCTGCTGCTGACGCTGCTGTGGCTGCAGCTCGCTTCAGACCTGCCGTTGGCAAAAGGTAAGCTAAACTTCCAGAAGCAGCAGGATCTGCAGCAGCAGCAAAAGTGTCATCATCATCAGCAGCAGCAGCAACAGCAGCAGACACAGCAGCGACAACAGCAACTGCTGCAACAGCAGCTGCTGCAATAGCAGCAGCTGCCGCGCCAGCAGCAGCAAGAGCAGCAATACCGGCGCCCGCAGCAACACAATTAACTGTAACACCAGCAATAAACTCAGCAGCAGCAGCAGCAGCAGAAGCAGCAGCAGCAGCAGCAGCAGCAGCAGAAGCAGCAGCAGCAGCAGCAGCAGCAGCAGCTCACTTTGCCAGTGACATTGACAACTTGGCCAGCTCGCAGCTGCAGCAGCTGATGAAACTTGCCGACCCACTCAGCCCTTAGAACTGCTGCCTCACTGCTTTTGCTGCTGCTGCTGCTGCTGCTGCTGCTGCTGCTGCTGCTGCTGCTGCTGCCTCGAGTGCGTTTGCTGCTGCGGCTTTTCTTGCTGCCCTTGTCATTGCTGCTGCTGCTGGCGCTGCAGTCGCTGCTCTTGCTGCTGCTGCTGCTGCTGCTGCTGCTGCTGCTGCTGCTTAAAAGACTTCTTATTTTCGCTGTGGAGAGCATCAGGCGAGAAGGCCCCCGCAGACGGCAGTGAGACATCTACAGGACAAAACCCTAAACCCTAAACCCTAAACCCTAAACCCTAAACCCTAAACCCTAGATGGCCGTGAGAAGTAGAGAGGCTTTAAAGACGAGGAGACAAAAAAGAATCAAAAAAGAAAAGAAAGAGATGTGCAGTTTCAAGTTGCTGCCTGCGCACAAGGCCCATGCAGTGGCCTAGCTGCTGCTGCTGCTGCTGCTGCAGCTGCTGCTGCTGCAGCTGCTGCTGCTGCAGCAGCTGCTGCTGCTGCTGCTGCTTGCGTCTGCTCACCCGTTCTAAACAGCCTACAAAGGAGACAGGGCCGCCCTGCAAGTGAAGGGGAATCTCCGTTTGCTGCTGCTGCTGCTGCTGCTGCTGCTGCTGCTGCTGCTGCTGCTCGGCATCATCAGCAGCAGCAGCAGGCTCGGAGAGGGTACAGCCCATGATACTTTGTTGCTGCTGCTGCGGCGCTAGCTGCTGCTGCTGCTGCTGCTGCGATTTGCCGCCATGAGCCCTTCCCCTTGCGCTTGCTGTTGCTGCTGCTGCTGCTGCTGCTGCTGCTGCTGCTGCTGCCTGTTCCAGTTCTTCTTTGCTGCTGACAGTGTTAATGGCAAGATACTTCACAGGCAAAAAGTGCAGCAGCAAATCCAAGCAGCTGCTGCAGCCAGCTTGCTGCTGCAGCACAGCTTCTCTTGCTGTTGAAATCCCGTGCAGGGCCCTGAGGGGCAGCAGCGCCAAATCCGCTACGCTGCTGATGCTGCTGAGGCTGCTGCTGCGGCTGCTGCTGCTGCTGCTGCTGCTGCTGCTGCTGCTGCGAGCTGCCAAGATGCTGCTGTTGCTGCTGCTGCTGCTGCTGCTGCTCGAAGCGGCAGCAGTGGCGGTGGCGGGGCGGCTGCTGCTGCAGCTTCGGTTTTGCACGCTGCTGCTGAATTCGCTGCTTCTGCTGGCCGCGTTGCTGCTGCTGTTCCCGCTGCTTCTGCTGCTGCTGCAGCTACTGCTGCTGCTGCTGCTGCTGCTGCTTCTGCTGCTGGGCCACTGGAAACGCGGCCTTAGGTTGCCTCCAGCGTCCCCACTTCTGCTGCTGGTGCTGCTGCTGCTGCTGCTGCGTTTCGTGCTGCTGCTGTTGCTGCGGGTTCTCTTGCTTTGGCTGCTGCTTCCGTCGCTGCTGCTGCTTGCTGCTGCTGCTGCTGCTGCTGTTGCTGCTGCTTGGCTGAGAGAAGACTCCTTCGAGATAAAAGGACTAAAGAACTTTCGTGTGTCTCCATTTGTCTCCTTTGCAATGCGGGGAGGCAGGAGAAAAGAGGGTCTTGCTGCAGCAGCAGCAGCAGCAGCAGCTGCTGCTGCTGCTGCTGCTGCTGCTGCCCCATCTGCTGCTGCTCCTGCTTGCTGCACGGCAAGCGCAAAGGATAGTGAAGGCAGGCAAAGACCCCTGCTGCTGCTGCTGCTGCTGCTGCTGTTGCAGCGGCTTGGGCGAAAGGGCAGCACTGCAGCCGCAGCGAAGCAGCAGCAGCGGCTTCCCACCGTTTGCTGCTGCTGCTGCTGCTGCCTCAGCAGCAGCAGCAGCAACGCAGCAGTGAGCAAGACGCCACACGGGCCGGGAAGAAAATTGCCGCCGCTGTGCCGCTGCTGTTGCTGCTGCTGCTGCTGCTGCTGCTGCTTGTGCTGTTGCTGCTGCTGCAGCCGATTCGTCATAGACGGCCGCCGCTAGAACCTGCTGCGACTACACATGTATCGAAGCGTCAGCAGCACCAGCAGCAGCAACAGCAGCAGCAGCAGCAGCAACAGCAGCAGCAGCAGCAGCTACTTGTATTTTCGTCTCGGAGTGTGGAGTCAAATTGAGGCGGCCAGGGCTTGCGGTGTCTGTCCACCTGTTTAAATGCCGGCTGGTGAAGTTTCTGAAATTGAAATTCAAAAAATAAAATAAAATAAATAAATAAAATAAAATAAAACAAAATAAATAAAATAAAACAAAGTGGAAAGGCTGCAAGCTCTGCTGCTGCTGCTGCTGCTGCTGTTGCTGCTGCTGCTGCTGGTATTTCGAGTGTCTGTACACCGCAGCAAACGAGCCCCCAGCTGCAGCAGCTTCTCGCCTTCGTTTATTTTCCGCTTCTCGGTGGGTTATTTGATTTGATTTAATTTAAATTAATAAGACTGCTAGCCCAAACCCTAAACCCTAAACCCTAAACCCTAAACCCTAAACCCTAAACCCTGAGGCTGAGCTGGGCAGTCAGTGTTTGCTGCGGGGGCCCCCAACGGGGCCCCCTGCGAAGCCGTTTGGGTCCTTCTTGGGCACTTTTTTGGAAACAAAGTTTAAATTATGAATTAATTTTGAATTAATTTCGAATTAATTTCAAAATAAATTCAAAATTGATTTATTTAATTCCATTTTTCGGCTTTTCGAACTCCATTTCCCCCCGCGGGCGCCCCGCGGTCGATTCTTCGGGCTGAGGACTTCTCCGGATTTTTCTTTTTAATTTAAAATTAAATTTAAATAATTTTAAATTAATTTCTATTTGCTGCTGCTGCTGCGGTGTACGTACACCGCAGCGCCGCGCCCGCCCCTGTGGGGCGGTCCAGTTCCCTGCCGCTGCTGCTGCTGCTGCTGCTGCTGCTGCTGCTGCTGCAGCGGGGTTGTGAGGCAGCAAAAGGGTTTGTTGGGTTCGTTGAAGCCCGAAATGGCGCGCAGCGACTCGGAGGAGGGGGGCCCCCCCGAGGGGCCCCCCGAGGGGCCCCCCGGGGGCCCCCGGGGGGCCCCCCGTTGCAGCAGCAAGCGGAAGAAGGCGTCGGCGTTTGCTGCGCTGGGGCTGGGAGCAGCAGCAGCAGCAGCAGCGCAGCAGCAGCTAGGGTTTAGGGTTCCGACTCCAGTGCAGCGGGCAGCAATTCCTTTGCTGCTGCAGGGCCGGGACTGCATAATAGTGGGGCGAACTGGCAGCGGGAAAACTGCTGCTTATTTGCTGCCGCTGCTGCAGCAGCTGCAGCAGCACGCTGCAGCAGCAGGAGCCCGGGCCCTGGTGGTGGCCCCCACGCGGGAACTGGTGCAGCAAATCCACGGAGTTGCTGCTGCGCTGCTGCGCTGCAGCAGCATTAGGGTTTGCGCGTTGGTGGGGGGGGTTTCTTACTGGCAGCAGTTCGAGGGTTTGGCGCGAAACCCTGATTTAGTGTTTGGCACTCCCGGCCGCCTGCTGCAGCTGCTGCAGCAGCAGCTGCTGCAGCTTGCTGCTGTTGCTGCTGCAGTCCTCGTCGAAGCAGATAAGCTGCTGGAGGCCGGCTGGGGGCCCCAGCTGCAGCTGCTGTGGGGGGCCCTAGCAGCAAAGCAGCAGGGGGTTTTTGTGTCTGCGTCTCTCCCAAACTCTCTTTTAGAGTTTATTTCTTTCGGACTTCAAAACCCTTTTTTCGTCCAAGTCGACAAACCCTCAAACCTCCCCCAAACCCTTTTCCTCCGCTTCCTCTTCGCCTCCCAAACCCTCAAAGTCCCCGCCCTCCTCTACCTCCTCCGAGCCCTCCAAGCCGTAAACCCTAAACCCTAAACCCTAAACCCTAAACCCTAAACCCTAAACCCTGGGCCTCCGAACGCCCTGCTGCTGCTGCGCCCGCCCACGCCGCAGCTGCTGCCGCTGCTCGATGCGCTAGGGTTTGCCCCCACACATTAGGGTTTAGGGTTTAGGGTTTAGGGTTTAGGGTTTAGGGTTTAGGGTTTAGGGTTTAGGGTTTAGGGGGAGCAGCAGGCGCTGGTGTTTGTAAACACTCGCCACCAGGCGGAGTTTTTGAAATTAATTATTTCCAAAACCCTCAAAATAAACCCTTTGATTATTTACGGCTCGATGGAGCAAAGAGACAGAAGCGCCAACCTCGCGGCCTTCCGAAAACGTAAACCCTAAACCCTAAACCCTAAACCCTAAACCCTAAACCCTAAACCCTAAGCCCTAAACCCTAAACCCTGCGGTTCGGCGCAGGCCGCGCGCCTCGCAGGGGCGGGAGCCTCGGGCGCCGAGCGCGCAAAACCCTAAACCCCAAACCCTAAACCCCAAACCCCAAACCCTAAACCCTAAACCCTAAACCGTAACCCTAGGCAGCGGCGGGCGAGGGTTTGGAGCTAGGGTTTAGGGTTTGCGTGTGCGAGGGTTTGCAGGCCGTTCTTTGTTTTTAATTGTCACTGATGTGGCTGCAAGAGGAATTGATATTTCTGAACTTCCTTTTGTAATTAATTTCGACTTTCCACCTTCTGCTCGGGTGTACATACACCGCGCGGGCCGCACTGCGCGCGCCGGGAGGTGCGCGTACACCCCAGCGCCGCGGCTCTTTCGCGGCCTTTTTCGCGTCTTTTTCGCTCGTTTTTCTTTCATTTATTATTTATTTATTGTTTTATTTCCATTTATTTCTCTTTTTCTCTTTATTTTCCCGTTTTTGCCGCTCTTTGCTCGCTTTTTGTCCCCAGGGAGGGCTGCGTCATCTCCATCACCACCCCCGAGGACTTGCCCTTCGCCTTCGACGTCGTGACTTTCGTCGGCGGGCGAATTGTCCCTTTGGCCCAGTGCATGCAGCAGCAGCAGCAGCAGCAGCAGCAGCAGCAGCAGATGCGGGAGGAGGAGCTGGACGGAGAGGCAGCTGCGGCGGACGGTAGCGCTGCAGCAGCAGCAGCAGCAGCAGCAGCAGATGCTGATGCAGACGCTGAAGCAGCAGCAGCAGCGGAAGCAGCGGAAGCAGCGTCGCCAGCAGCAGCAGCAGGTGCTGCAGCAGCAGCAGCAGCAGCAGACGACGGAGCAGCAACAGACGCAGACGACACAGCAGCAGCAGCAGCAGCAGCAGCAGCAGCAGCAGACCTGGGTCGCGTGTCTTCTGGAATTTATCCCTTAGGTGCTGCTGCTGACTTGGACTTGTTTCAAGAAGCTGTGTCTTCTTGTCTGCAGCAAGACTTGGAGGCGCAGTCGCTGCAGCGAGCAGCAGCAGCAGCAGAAAAACTTTACTTCAAAACGAGAGCAGCAGCAAGCAAGCAAGGCTGCCAAAGGGCGAAGCAGCTGCTGCAGGAGGTGGGGGGTCTTTCGCTGCTGTCGGCGCGGCCCTTCACGGAGCAGCAGCTGCTGCCGCTGCTGCAGCAGCAGCAGCAGCAGCAGCAGCTCGCGCTGCAGCAGCAGCTGCAGCGCCTGCCCCCCGCCCAGCAGCAAACGCTGCAGCAGCTGCTGCAGAAGCAGCAGCAGCAGCAGCAGCAAGAAGTGGATGTGAAGCTGCTGCAAATCATGAGGCGCTTTAGACCCAAAGTGGGAGTCCAAGGCAGCGTTTTAAGTGCAGCAGCAGTAGAAGCCATCAGCAGCAGACAAAGGGGAAAAGAAGCTGTTGCTGCTGCTGCAGCAGCAGAGGAAAGGAGACACAGGAGAGCCATCGAAGACTCAGAGGCTGACGACTCCGACGAGGAGCTGCTGCAGCAGCAGCAGCAGCAGCAGCAGCAGGGAGAGGCTGGCGTCAGCAGCAGCAGCAGCAGCAGCAGCAGCAGCGGGCTCGATGAAGCGCAGCAGCAGCAGCAGCAGCAGCAGCAGCAGCAGGGCGATGGCGGGTGCAACGCTCTGCATGCGCTGGAAGCAGCAGCAGCAGCAGCAACAGCAAAGCGCCGGCGAGTCAGCAAAAGGCGGCTGCAGAAAGTGGCGAAGGAGATGGGCGTGGACCCGAGAGCAGCAGCAGCAACTGCAGCAGCAGCAGCAGCAGCAGCAGCAGCAGCAGCAGCAGCAGCAGACAGCAGCAATGTCTTCGTTGATGTTTCTCCAGAAGCAAAAGCAGAAGGAGAACATGTGATGCTGCAGCTGCAGCACCAGCAGCACACAACTTATGCAGATGAAGAGGCAGACTTGAGGCGGGCCAAGTACCAGGAAAAAAGAAAGTAAGCAGCAGCAGCAGCAGCAGCAGCAGCAGCAGCAGCAGCAGTAGCAGCAGCAGCAGCAGCAGCAGCAGCAGCAGCAGCAGCAGCAGCAGCAGCGGCGGCGGCGGCCTGTACTGCCGGAGTGTGTCTTTGGGGAATAAATGGGAATTTGAAAAAAGAAAATTTGAATTTAAAATTCGGATTTTATTTTTTTGTTTTCAACAAATTTAAATCCGGAAATAAAGAAATGAATTAAAAATGCATGCAAAGAAAATGCAATTAAAAATGCATGCAAGTGCAAAAAGTGGAAACTTCAAAAAGCGGAGAAGTCGAAACTTATGCAGCAATAATGGACTTGAATTAATTGCAAAAATGGACTAGCTAGCTAGCTAGCTAGCTAGCTAGCTAGCTAGCTAGCTAGCTAGCTAGCTAGAAAAAATGGAAACTTTGCAAATTAAAAAATAAATAAATTCGAAAGTGGAAAAGGCTGGAGATTTAATTCCATTTTTGCATTTGAAATGGAAGTATTGGCGGTTCAGGTGTACGTACACCCCGGGCGCGGATTTCAGGTGTACGTACACCGCAGCTGCATGCAGTGCACGTACACCGCAGCTGCATGCAGTGTACGTACACCTGGAGTGTGCATGCAGGTGGGACCCGAAGAAGAGAAAATATGTTTTAATGCGAATTGACAGTGCTTCTGGATTGCCAGTAAAGAGACAGAAAAAAGGAGAAAAAGAAGAAAGAAAAATGCAAGTTTCAAACCCTTTTTTGCTTTTTTCTTTTTTCTTTTTGCATTCTTTTGTTTCTTTTTTTCCGCTTTTTTTCCTCCTTTTGTTCTCCACTTTATTTCCCTTTTCTGTCTTTTCTATCTCTCTCTTTTTCTTCCTTTTTGTCTCCTTTTGTTTTCTTTTTCTTTCTGTCTTTTTTGTTCTTGTTTCTCCCTCTCGTCTCTTTTTTCTCTCTTTTAATTTCTTTTTGTCTTTTTTTAATTTCTTTTAATTTCTTTTAATATCCTTCAATTTAATTTTATAGATTTTGAATTCCGTTTCTCTCATTTCTTTTTTCTCTGCATTGCATCCTTTGCCTGGCCGCACTTCAAACCCCAAACCCCAAACCCTAAACCCTAAACCCTAAACCCTAAACCCTCGCTTTGCGTGTTTCGGGCCTCAGCAGCTGCGCCTTTCGCTACGCCCAGTGGTCCAAAATAACAAAACAGAGAATTCCAAAACTGGGAGAAATCGAAAACCCTAATTTAAACCCCCCGGAGCGCAGCAGCAGCCGCGCCCGCCGCACAGGTCAGCAGGGTTTAGGGTTTAGGGTTTAGGGTTTAGGGTTTAGGGTTTAGGGTTTAGGGTTTAGGGTTTGGGGTTTAGGGGGGGTTTAGGGGGGGGCTGGTGGCATTCAGAGGACGCACTCGAGGCCCTTGAAGGCCTCAGAAGGCGTCGCGTCGAGGGTTTGAAAACCACGGCTTAGGGTTTAGGGTTTAGGGTTTAGGGTTTAGGGTTTGTTGGTGTTCAGAAGAGCCTCTAGAAACTGATGAAACCCCCAGCAACAAAATTCGCTTCTTGCCGCTGCATTCCAAACACCTAGGTAAGGGCTTAGGGTTTAGGGTTTAGGGTTTAGGGTTTAGGGTTTAGGGTCTCAGCAGCATCTAAAGACCCCGGGCTATTCGTCCACCGAGATGTTGCTGCAGTGCGGCTGCCACTGCGTTGCTGTTGCTGCTTTGCTGCTGCTGCTTTGCTGCTGCTGCTTTGCTGCTGCTCTGCTGCTGCTTTGCTGCTGCTGCTGCTGCTGTTTCAACGGAGTGTCTGATCCATTTAATAATTAATTCCTCATTCTTCATTATTTATCTATTCATCTATTTATTATTTATTTATTTATTTATTTATTTATTATTTATTATTTATTTATTATTTATTTATTTATTTAGGCATTAAAGAGGCGCTGCAGAAGGGGGCCCCGCTAACTCACAAGCAAACTCGAATTGCAAAGAAATTAATTCAAAAAGAAATAAATTTAAATTCAAAAACGGATTTGCAAAAAGGCAAAAAGAAGGGCCCTGAGGTGTACGGACAGCTCAAGACTGTGCAGCAGGCAAGAGCGACAAAATGCATTTTCTTTTTTCATTTTTTTCTTTTTTCTCTCTTTTCTTTCTTTTCTTTTTTTTCTTTTTTTCTTTTTCTTTTTTCTTTCTTTTACTTCTTTTGCTTTTCTTCCGGTGTTCTTTCGTTTCCTTTTTGTTCATTTGTGTCTCCTTTTGTTTCTCTCCGTTTCTTTATTCAATTGTTTTTTTATTTTTTATTTTTGTTCTTTTTGGATTCTTTTTATCTCCTTTTTGTTTTTTGGCATTTGTTTCTTTTTGTCTTTTTCTGTTGCATTTAAGAGCAGCGCGTGCTGCTGCATGCGTCTGAAGCAGTCTTTTGTTTGTTTAATTTCTTTTTGTTTTTATTCTAATTTCTTTTTGTTTTTAAATTTAAATATCTTTTTGTTTTTAAATTCTTTAATTTCTTTTTAATTTATTTCCACTCAGCAGCTCCTTTGCATGCAGATTGCAAAAGGAAGAAAACGCGAAGAGCAGCGGCGGCTCAAAAACGCCCCCAAGGGCAAAAGAGGAGCAGCAGCAGCAGCAGCAGCAGCAGCAGCAGCAGCAAAAAGCAAATGGATGAAGAAGCAAGCGTTCAAAATCGCGAAGAAAGGAGCCCCCAACAGATCGTTTGCAATCAAAAAAGTGAAAAAGCGCAAAACGAGGGTTTAGGGTTTAGGGTTTAGGGTTTAGGGTTTGGGGCCTGTTGGCTGGAAACCCCAAACGAGGGTTTTGCGAAGGGGCGCATGCATGTGCGCTTTCTCAAATATTCAGAAATGCATTTAATGCATTTTTATTTTGCAAAATATTTTTGTCATTAAACTCTTTAGAGAGAAAAGAGTCTATTTGCACAATATGTTGGGGTGTACGTACACCCGAGCTGTCCCAGACAAACCTGAAAACTTGCTTTAAACAACTCGCTGCGGCTCTCGAGTTCTGCTCTAGGGTTTAGGGTTTAGGGTTTAGGGTTTAGGGTTTGGGGCGGGCTGGGCGAGGGGAGGAGGGTTTGCCTTTCGTCTTTCCGCTGGCCTGGCGCGGTGTACATACACCCGGGCGGCGAAAAGCAGGGTTTTGGGCGCTGCTTTTAAAGTTCTTTGAAGTGGAGTTTAGAGAGCGCAAAAGGGGTCAAAGAGAGGCAAATAAGTTGCTAGTTTCGTTTAAAAGTGGCAGGAGCTGCTAAAAGGTTTATTTAAGTTCTGAAAAGTGGAAAAAAAATGAAAAAAAGGCGTGTTCCGGGCGGGCGCGTCGGGTGTATGTACACCCCGCGGCAGGTGACCATACACCCGGGGCGGCGGAAAGCGCGCGAAAGCAGCGGAAAAAGCGGAGAATTTGTTGGCAAAAATAAGTTTAGGAGTTTTAAAAGAGTTTAGTTTGGGAATTGGGAAGTGTTTGGAGCGAAAGGGTGGAAAAGAAAGCAGGTTTCCCGGTGCGGGTGGCGGCGGGTGTACGGACAGCGCGCGTGGGGCGCCGCTAGGGCAAAATTTTGGCGGCTATTTTTCGCCTTTGAGAGTTTTGGCATAAATAATAAATGCATTTAAGATAGCTGAGTTGCAAAAGGGGGAAAAAAGAGTCCGGGGGAGTGGCGAGGCGAGCAGCAACTCCCCTAGGTGCCGCGGCAGCATGCTGCTGCTGCTGCTGCTGCTGGGGCGGAGTTGGGCGTTTCTGCGCGCGAAGAAGTGGAATTCGGAGAAGAATTGAATTTAATTTGTCTTTATTTCCTTCTTTAGACTTTTTAAATCCCCAAAGACCCACAAAGTGCCCTGCGCGGCGCTGCGGGGCTGTGTGGCTGCAGGGCGTCCGCAGGCTGGGGTGTATGTACACTTGAGTCCTCCGGCTGCTGCTGCTGCCTCCCAAACAACAGCTTTAGTGTCTCTCTGAGCAGCTGCTGCCTCTCCCGCGCCCGCGAAGGCCGCCGCCGCCGCTGCTGCTGCTGCTGCTGCTGCTGCTGCTGCTGCTGCTGCTGCTGCTGCTGCTATGCTGCAAGACCAGCAGTCCCCTGCTGCCCTCCACCCAAGGGCCCCCAAAACAATGGACCCCCAGCCCCCGGGGGCCCCCGGGGCCCCCGGCCGCGTGCTGCTGGCTTCTGTCTCGAACATAAAGTACCCTGTGGACTTGGACTTGATTCACCATCTCTTTTCCAGATTCGGAGAAGTCGAGAAGGTGAGCTGCAGCAGCAGCAGCAGCAGCAGCAGCAGCAGCAGCAGCAGCAGCGGGGTGGGAGTTAGTCGGGGTGGGAGTGGGGTTGAGGCGGCGGAAGCAGCTGCTGCAGCAGCAGCAGCAGTTGCTGCTGCAGCAGCAGCTGCTGCTGCTGCTGCAGCAGTGGGTGTAGGGGCAGGTAGCGGCGGCGCCGAGGGTTTAGGGTTTGGGAGTTAGTGGCCATACCTCCGGGGCGTAGGAAGGGTTTGCTGGCGAGGGTTTAGGGTTTAGGGTTTAGGGTTTAGGGTTTAGGGTTTAGGGTGTATATCTGCACTGCCCGTCTCCCTCCGGCGCTATCGTAGTTCAAAAGAAAGGGTTTCCGCAGCTCACCCCCCCCCTCCCGCTGCATCCCCCCTCGAGGGTTTAGGGTTTAGGGTTTAGGGTTTAGGGTTTGCGCAGATCGTGAGTTTCTTCAAAACCCCGAGTTTGTACCAGGCCCTCGTCCAGTTTGCTTCTGCAGCACAAGCCCGCGAGGCGCTGCTGCACCTCCACAACCGCAACATTTACGACGACTGCAACACTTTGCAGCTGCAGCAGAGTCGGCTGCAGCAGCTGACAGTGAAGGCCAATTCTTCGCGGTCTTGGGACTATACTCAGGATTCCGGGGGGCCTCGTGCTGCTGCTGCTGCTGCTGCTGCAGCGCAGCAGCAGCAGCAGCAGCAGCAGCAGGGGGTGGTGTTGGCCGGGGTGGCCGGGGTGGGCGTGGGGGGCCAGCAGCCGCCCGCGCCGCAGCAGCAGCGGCACTTCTTCGCGCCGTATGCTGCGCTGCAGCAGCAGCAGCAGCAGCTGCTGCAGCAGCAGCAGCAGCAGCAGCAGCAGCTCTTTCCCCTCGAAAGGCTGCCTCAGGAACTCAGAGACATCGACTTCGAATACGCAAACCCTTCACAAACCCCCGTCATCATCGTCTACAACATCCCAGCCTCCGTCAACATCCAGATGGTCCGCTGCTGCTGCTGCTGCTGCTGCTGCTGCTGCTGCTGCTGCTGCTGCTGCTGCTGCTGCTGGTGTGGGTTTCTTCGTTTTGTTGCGGGTGCAGCTGCGCGCAGGGGCGCGTTCTGTCGCTTTGCTGCTGCTCGCCTGCTGCAGCCGTTTAAACTGAACTGCGTTTGCGTTTGCTTCCTCTGCTGCTGCTGCTGCTGCTGCTGCTGCTGCTGCTGCTGCTGCTGCTGCAGCTGTTTAACCTGTTCAGCTTGTACGGAAGTGTTTTGCGAATTAAAATTCTGAAAGAAAGACCCGACACGGCTTTGATCCAATACGCCCTTCCTTTCTACGCAACCATTGCCCAGAGACTCATGCTCGTGAGGGTTTAGGGTTTAGGGTTTAGGGTTTAGGGTTTAGGGTTTGGGGTTTAGGGTTTAGGGTTTAGGGTTTTGTTGCTGCTGCGTGTTGGGGCTTTTGTGGCCCGAGTTCTTGATGGCAATTCCATTAAACTAAATAACTAATTATTTCTTTTATTAATTAATAAAAGAAATGTTTCAATTTAATTAATTAAATCAAATTAATTAAATTAATTAAATTAAATTAAATTAATTTATTTTATTTTATTTTTAGGGGGCAGTTTGCGAAGGCCAGGAGCTGCAGATGACCCTCAGCCGCAACAAGGAAGTGCGGCTGCCGTCAGCAGCAGCAGCAGCAGCAGCAGCAGCAGCAGCAGCAGCAGACTCAGCAGCAGCAGAAGACGAAAAACGCACTGTGGCCTTCACCATGAAGGACCAAAGATACGGGGTGAGCTGCTGCTGCTAGCTGCTGCTGCTGCTGCTGCTGCTGCTAGCTGCTGCAGTGAGCTGCTGCTGCTAGCTGCTGCAGCGGGTTGCTGCTGCTGGCTGCTGCTGCTGCCGCAGCTAGCTGTCCACATGTACAGTGCAGCTAGCAAGCTAGCTAGCTAGCTAGCCAGCTAACTAGCTAGCCAGCTAGCTAGCTAGTGGGGAAGCTTGCATCGAAGAGGACGCCTAAATGCCTGCTGCCTTCGCTGCTGCTGCTGCTGCTGCTGCTGCTGCTGCTGCTGCTGCTGCTGCTGCTGCTGCTGCAGGCGGAAGACATAGAGAAGTACGTGAAGAGCGCATGCAAGCCGACGCGGACAGTGTTTGTGGCCAACATAAACGAAGCAGCAACAACAGAAGACATAATAGAGTTGTTTAAAAATCAGGGAAAAGTGAACAAAATAAACTTCAAAAAGCCGAAAAACGAAAACAGCAAAACCAAACTCTGCATCATGGAGTTGGAAAGCGAAGAAAAGGTAAACAAACAGTGCTTTCTTTCTTCCGAAAATAAATCAAATGGAGTTTTATTTCATTTTTATTTTATTTTATTTCTTTTTATTTCTTTTTTTTCTTTTTTTCTCCTTTTCCGCTTTTCTTGAACTCGCGTTCAAACGCGGGGTGTACGTACACCCCACTCCCCTGTTCGCTTTCAAAACTCCGGTCCTCCACTTTGCCATTTTATGTTTATATTTATATTTATTTTTTGTTTTGTTTTTATATTTTATAATTTTATTTTATATTTCTGTTTATATTTTGCACTAAAAGTTGCAAAATGCTGCGTTTGCAGCACCTGTACGTACACCCGGTGGCTTCTGTTCTGGATTTGCAATTTCTTTCGCCGTTTTGCAATTTGAATTCCATTTTAATTTATTCTTTCTTTTATTTTTAATTTTATAATTTTAAATTATATTTATTTGTTTTTTTTCAAATTTTTATTTCAAACTTTTCAACTTTTTGTCTTCAGGCCATTAGCGCCGTCATGCATCTCCACAATTACGATTTCATGGGCAGGTCACTCAAGGTGGCCTTTTCAAAAAGCGTTATTTAGCTGCTGCAGCAGCAGCAGCAGCAGCAGCAGTTGCTGCAGCAGCTACCGCAGCAGCAGCAGCAGCAGCAGCTACTGCAGCAACAGCAGCAGCTACTGCAGCAGCAGCAGCAGCTACTGCAGCAGCAGCAGCAGCAGCAGCAGCGGCTACAGCAGCAGCAGCAGCAGCAGCTACTGCAGCAATAGCAGCAGCAGCAGCTACTGCTGCAGCAGCAGCAGCAGCAGCAGCTACATCCGCAGCAGCGAGCAAAACGGCTGCAGCAGCAACAGAGTGACGGAAAGGGGCTCTACTGCTGTTGCAGGAGCAGCAGCAGCAGCAGCAGCAGCAACAGCAGCAGCAGCAAGAGCGGCTGCTGCGTATATGAATGTGCTTGCGCAGAAGGAAGTGGATTGGTATTTAGATTGTTGCTTATTAATTTAAATGTAAATAAATAAATAAGTAATTTAATTATTTATTTATTTATTTATTTATTTATTTATTCGGTGAGGCTTTTTCTCTGCTAAACAAATTCCTAAATAGCTGCATCGCAAATGTGTCTCCCGAAGCTCCCGGCTCGCGGCTTCTTAGGGTTTAGGGTTTAGGGTTTAGGGTTTAGGGTTTAGGGTTTGGGGCTGTGGAGCCCCGGAGCGCGAGCTGGAGCGGGGGGGGGTAGTTGTGTTTCGAGGGTTTAGGGTTTAGGGTTTAGGGTTTAGGGTTGAAGCAATTTAAATAAATAATAAATATTTAGAAGTTTAGACCAAAAAGCAGCAAAAGACTTTGCAAGACTTTGCTGCTGCAGTTGCTGCAGCAGCAGCAGGAGTCGCAGCGGCAGCAGGAGCAGCAGCAGCAGCAGCAGTTTCTGCAGCAGCGCCGGCGCTTGAGCAGCAGCAAGAGCAGTTGCCGCAGCAGCAGCAGCATTCCCTGCAGCAGCAGCAGCAACAGCAGCAGCAGTTGTTGCAGCAGCAACTCTTGGAGCAACTTTATCTGCGGTTGCTGCTGTTGCTGCTGCCGCAGCAGCAGCAGCAGCAGCAGCAAGCGCAGCAGGTGCTGCAGCAGCAATAGCGCACGCTGCAGCAGCAGCAGCACCAATTGCTGCAGCAACAACTCGTGGAGCGATTTTATCTGCATTTGCTGCTGCTGCTGCTGCAGCAGCAGCAGCAGCAGCAGCAGCAGCAGCAAATTGAGCATTTCTTTCTTCTTTGTTTTGCCTCATTTTGATTCAAATGAACAAAAGAGCTGCAGCTCTAAGTTGCAGTTGCAATTAATTATTTATTTATTTATTTATTTATTTATTTATTTATTTATTTATTTTATTTCATTATTTATTTTATTTTATTTTATTAATTTGGTTTAATTAATTCGATTTAATTCATTTGATTTAACTAATTCAATTTAATTAATTTAATTACTTATTTAATTTAATTTAGTTAATTTAGTTTAATTATTTATTTTACTTAATTTAATTTAATTACTCATTTAATTTATTTAATTTATTTAATTATTTATTTATTTTATTTATTTAAGTTACTGCTGTTTGATGAAGCCCTTTGTTTTTTTCTTTCTTCTTTTTCTGGATTTCTTCAAACACTTTTAATTTATTTTAAATTTATTTTTAATTTATTTTTAATTTATTTTAAATTTATTTTAAATTTATTTTTAATTTATTTTTTTAATTCTTTTTTTTATTTCCTGCAAGAAGAAGCAAGTCGGGCTTTTGCAACTGCTGCTGCTGCTGCTGCTGCTGCTAGTTCTCTGTGGCTGCTGCTGCTGCTGCTGCTGCTACTTCTTTGTGGCTGCTGCTGCTGTTGCTGCTGCTAGTTCTCTGTGGCTGCTGCTGCTGCTGCTACTTCTTTGTGGCTGCTGCTGCTGTTGCTGCTGCTAGTTCTCTGTGGCTGCTGCTGCTGCTGCTGCTGCTAGTTCTTTGTGGGTGCTGCTGCTGTTGCTGCTGCTAGTTCTTTGTGGGTGCTGCTGCTGTTGCTGCTGCTAGTTGTTTGTGGGTGCTGCTGCTGTTGCTGCTGCTAGTTCTCTGTGGCTGCTGCTGCTGCTGCTGCTGCTGCTGCTAGTTCTTTGTGGCTGCTGCTGCTAAGGGCAATTTGAGTGCAAATAAAGTGTCTCCTTTTGTTAATTAAATACTTGACATCCAAAGAGGGAGAGGCTGTGTCCCTTCTTACAAAAAAGCTGCTGCTGCTGCATTTGCTGCAGCAGCAGCAGCCCTCGCTGTTGCAGCTGCTGCTGCATTTGCTGCAGCAGCAGCAGCCCTTGCTGTTGCAGCTGCTGCTGCGGCTGCTGCAACCCTTGCACAGCTGCAGAACAGTCGCTGCTGCTGTTGCAGCTTTTGCTGCTGATGCAACAGCAGCAGCCGCAGCAGCAGCGGCAGCAGCAGCAGCAACTGCTGCTGCAGCAGCAGCAGCAGCAGCCGCAGCAGCAGCAGCAGCTGTTGCTGCTTGGAGTGTATAGACGCTAGCTAAATCGGCTTTCGTGTTCATACACCTGAAGCGGCCATTTGGACTTGTTGGATTTTCTTTTGAACTGAATTAATTTGAGAATTAAATTAAATTAAATTAAATTAATTAGATTAATTAAATTAAATTAAATTAATTAATTTAATTTAATTAATTTAATTTAATTTAATTTAATTTAATTCTCTTCACTTCTTCCCGAGGTCCACAGACAGCCTGGCGCACAAAAGCAGCAGCAACTTCGAAATGCCATTTGAGTCTTTTTTAATTTTTAGATTTAAAAATATTTAAATTAAATTTAAAATACTTTTAAATTAAATTTAAAATACTTTTAAATTAAATTTAAAATACTTTTAAATTAAATTTGAAATACTTTTAAATTAAATTTAAAATACTTTTAAATTAAATTTAAAATATTTCCAAATTAAATTCTAATTTCATTTTGCTTTTGAAGTCCAAAGCTGCACTTTCAGGAGATTTTGACGCAAGCGCAGCAGCAGCAGCAGCTTCTGCTGCTGCTGCAGCAGCAAAATCGCAAAACTTCATCAAATAAATAAACTAATCAACTAGTTAATTAATTAATTTAATTAATTAATTAACTAATTAATTTAATTGATTAATTAATTAATCAATTTAATTAATTAATTAATTAATTAATTAATTAATTAATTAATTAATTAATTAATTAGTTAATTAGATAATTATCGAATTTATCTTCTGAAGTCAAGTGTTTAACTTTTTGCTCCTGCTGCAAAAACCAAAGCTGCTTTCGCAGCATTTTATTCATCAATTAAATAAATGAATAAATTAATTAATTAATTAATTAATTAATTAATTAGTTAGTTAATTAATTAATTATTAATTAATTAATCATTTATTTATTTATTTATTTAGTTTATCTGTAGAAGTATTTAAACCCAAACAGCAGAAATCGGAAGAAATTGGAAACGGAATAAATTTTGAATTTGGAGAATTCAAAAAGCCCCAAAACGCATGCAGTTGAATTTTGGATTTTTTATTTTTAAATGCAGTTGAATTTTGGATTTTTTATTTTTTAAAAGTTTGCAAAAAGACAAAAAGATGAAAAGAAAAGTTGAAGTGAAAGGAGAAGACGGACCCAGTCCTTTGTCGAAGTTTTGAAAGAAAGTTTTTTCTTTTTTTTCTTTTTTTTCTTTTTTTTCATTTATTTCTTTTTTTTCATTTATTTCTTTTTTGAAAAAATCTTCTGCTTTCGAAATCCCCCGAATGTCCGCCACGGGGAATTCCGGAAAAGGACTTTCTGCAGAAGTGACTGCGATGTTCTGAAAGCAAAACAAATCAAAACCATTTTGTCTTTTTAGGAAAAAAAGGACAAATTAATTCAAATTAATTCAAATTAATTCAATTTATTTCAATTTATTTCAATTTAGTTCAATTTTATGCAAAAATAAATGAAGTTTCAGCAAAAAAATCAAAGAAAACGAAAAAAAAGAAGAAAGAAACAAGACAAATAAGTGGTTTTTTGAATTTTTCAACTTTTCTTTTTCTCGTTTGATGCATTTTTAAATTAATTTGTCATTAAATAAATTAAAATGAATTTGGCATTTAATTTAACTGAAAAGCGGATGAAAAATATGACGCTGGGGCCCAGCTGACCCAGAAGCCCTAAACCCTAAACCCTAAATTAGGGTTTAGGGTTTAGGGTTTACGGCCGGTGCATCCAACTGACCCAATTAGTCAGCCCGAATGAATAAATGAATTTTAAAATTAATTTGTTGAATTATTTTCATTCCTAATCAAACAATAAG